TTAATGTTTTAGGAAGGTTGCAGGTAAGAAAATTATTATATATCTCATATATTATATATCTCTATTATATTTCTCATATGAGTAATATCAAAGAATAGTAATTTTTATGCGAAAACCAAATATCATTTGTACCTTATCTATTATGTTGTTATTAAACCTAATGATCCTATTAAGTAATTCATATAACTTATACTTTTTTATAGTTTATCCGAATTTCTGTGAAAAACAGAATTAATTTATGTTTAACCAATGGGTGTTGCAAGTTTCATACAATTACAAATTATAAATATCATTAATAATAATGTGCAAAATTCTTATTCCAATTGGTTCAGTAATTTAGTTTATTATTACTACCTTCATGTTCTGCTGAGAACAATCTGTGGTTCAGTTGTTGGTGATTCAATCATTATTCACAATAAAGACATACAATTTGTTACAATAATAATGGAATAATTGCAATATCACCATTTCCAATGCAGTCTCCTTGCTTTGCTAAGTTACGGCTTCCTTCATTTGATTTATGTATAATATGAATTGAGGAAAATAGAGTGTATGTATGTAGTAATGTACCAAGTGCATTCAAAACTCAGGGTCTGTGTTCACAAATGGTGTTATTATTTTTTCGTTACTGTAACAAAGTTTCTAACTACATTGTAGGTAATTACTGAATCACCTTCATATATCATTTTGTTTGTCTATACATTACATTCTATTGGCTGGACATGCTACACAAATGTGTACTGTACTGGCTTACATTTTTTGTGCTGCCATATGAAGATAGAGATTGAGCTATGACTAATGTCCAGCAACAATCTCTCTATATACCTACCTCCGCAAAGAAGATGAAATAAGAAAATTCAGTCAGTGATTGTTGATGATTGGGCAGACTGATGAGGATCAGCCCCATGCATACATCCAGACATTTGTCCTGAAGCCAATTGGCACCAGCTTTTACGTGCAGCATGACATCTTCAGACTTGCTCTGCACGACACGGTTTAGGCATCAGGTACTGATCTTCGGTTGATCTTTGTACCAGTAAAGGCAAGCCCAATACTAATTACTCTCTAAATTAGCTTCGTGTTTGCCAGAGTATGCTTGCTTGTTAATAACTCTTACCTAAACGTTTATGTTTTGCTATGTTGCTTTTGTATGTGCCGTAAAATAATTTTTTCTCTAAAGTTAGCATTAGAATAAAAATTTTGCACTCAACGACCGTCACTTCCATTAATAGTATTGCATCACCTGTAGTGGTAATTTTATCAAAGTTATTTGAATTTGATAAAATTTTATAATTTCGTTAATG